TACTGTGGCAGGACCTTAAAATGACGGTTCATGTTCAGAAACCCTCCAGTGTGGTTGATTTAAAACAATTTTGCAAAGAAGAGTGGGCCAGAATTCCTCCACGGACTCATTTCCAGTTATCACAAATGCTCGACTGTCGTTGCTGCTCAGGGAGGTTCAACTTTATCAGGTTCAGATGCCTTTTTTCCCCCGTAATAAATAAAATGTTCTGTTAAAACTGCATTTTGTGTCTATCTTTGTCTAATATTTAAGTTTGCTTGATCTAAGAATGACAGAAGGTGCAAAAAAAAGTAAGAAATCGGTGAGGAGGCAAACACTTTTTCACGTCACTGTAAATTTGCGTTTACTGCTCTTTTAACATCATTATCCAAAATAAATCACATGTCTAGTCTTTCTTCTCTCTGTTGAGCATAAATACTAGTTTGCACTGGCGACAATAAACCACACTTTGTTTTACAAATGACACAGTTTATTTTATTACATTTAGAATTCTCGTTTAAACTTCCTCCTCTTCGTCCGTCTCCGTTTTAGGCACCAGGTCTTCAGGATGGACCCACAGACCTTCACTGGTTTGACTGGAGATGATGGCTCTCTCGATGAACGGACCTGACCAACAGACCAAGAAAAAAAAAAAAAACATGTTTAATAGATACATCAGTTTAATGCTGTACTGTGGAACATTCCCGGCAAAGCATTAAGATACACAAGTTACTCTGACATAAAAAAACTAAATAGTAAAAACCATAAACAAAAACACAGGACTGTCTAGAGGAAAATAGTGTTCCATTTCAGCAGAATCACAAATCTGGACCAATCTCGGTCCTGGTTGGAGTCCTGGTTCTAGTTCCGATTCTAGTTCTAGTCCTTCTTGGTTCTCGTTTTAGTTCTAGCCCAAGTACTAGTTGGTTCTAGTTCTAGTTCTAGTTGTAGTCTTGGATCTAGTGTTAGTTCTGGTCCCAGTTCGATTCTCCTTTTTAGTCCTGGTAATAGTTGTAGTTCTAGTTGATTCTGTTTTTTCTATGCCTGGTTCAAGTCCTGGTTCTGGTCTTGTTTAGTTCTGGTTCTAGTTTAGTTCTAATCTTGGTTCTTTTTTGTTCTAGTTTTAGGTCTAGCCCTGGTTCTGGTCCCAGTTCTAGTTTTGATTCTAATTGGTTCTAGTTTTAGTTCTAGTCCTGCTTCTAGTCCTGGTTCTAGTCCTGCTTCTAGTCCTGGTTCTAGTCCTGGTTCTAGTCCTGGTTCTAGTCCTGGCTCTAGCCCTGGTTCCAGTTTTAGTTCTAGTCCAGGTTCTGGTATGCCTGGTTCATCAAGTCCTGGTTCTGGTACTAGTTCTGGTTCTAATTCTGGTTCTGGTTCCAGTTGTTTCTAATTGTATTTCTAGTCCTGATTTAATCCTCGTTCTAGACCTTGTTCTATTACTGGTTATAGCTCTGGTCCCAATTTTGGTTCAGTCCTGGCTCTAGTCCTGGTTCCAATTTTAGTTCTAGTCCTGGTTCAAGACATGGTTCTAGTTCTGATTCTAGTTCTAGTCCTGGTTCCAGTTTTAGTTCTAGTCCAGGTTCTGGTATGCCTGGTTCAAGTCCTGGTTCTGGTACTAATTCTGGTACTGATCCCAGTTGTTTCTAATTGTATTTCTAGTCCTGGTTTAGTCCTCATTCTAGACCTTGTTTTATTACTGGTTATAGCCCTGGTCCCAATTCTGGTTCTAGACCTTGTTCCAGTCTTAGTTCTAGTCCTGGTTCTAGTCCTGGCTCTAGTCCTGGTTCCAGTTTTAGTTCTAGTCCGGGCTCTAGTCCTGGTTCCAGTTTTAGTTCTAGTCCTGGTTCTAGATCTGGTTCTAGTCCTGGTTCCAGTTTTAGTTCTAGTCCTGGTTCTAGATCTGGTTCTAGTCCTGGTTCCAGTTTCAGTTCTAGTCTTAGTTCTAGTCCTGGTTCTAGTCCTGGTTCCAGTTTTAGTTCTAGATCTGGTTCTAGTCCTGGTTCCAGTTTCAGTTCTAGTCCTGGTTGTAGTCCTGGCACTAGTCCTGGTCCCAATTCTGGTCGCAATCCTGGTTCTAGTCCTGGTTCTACTTCTTTAGTTCACGCTTGAGAACCGTCCAGGTCCTGTTCAAGACCAAACACAGACCCGCGGTGTTTTAACGAGCTTAATTTTTCCGAGTTTTGTTTAGTGTTTTCCTTCTTTGAGCACATGAACTCCGGTTTTCCTCCTGCTCCTCCACCGAAAAAAAAACAGCTCCATATTCTTACATTATTCCCTCCCACACACGGAGAAGCCGCGATTCCCCACGGTCCCCGAACGCCTCCTCACTTCTCCGGCCCTTTGTCCCATTGACGCACAAACGACCAACGCGAATCTACGGGATCTTTAAATCTGAACACTCGGGTCGATACAGAACCCAGCGCCGGCTCTGTGTGGAACGTCTGGAACGCTGAATATGTGCTTTTATATAGATTTACACAAACAGTACAGCGTGTTCAGAGTGAAAGAGAGAACTCCAGCTACTTTTTATTCAAATACGACACATATTTTCACTCCGACTTGAGTCAAACATTGTACAGTGTGACAGGAGGTTAACAAAAGTGTGAATATGCCTCTTTTCTGTCAATAAACAAATTATAACGATGTAAAAATGTTTAATAACAGTTGTTTCATCATGTAAATAGACAGTGTTGGGAGTAACATGTTATAAAAGTAGTGAGTTACTGTACTGCGTTGCTTTTGGCTGTAGCGCAGTAATGTGGAATTACAGGGAAAAAAAAAGTAATATGTGTACAAACGTGAGTAAAGCACGTCACGATGCTTTTTTAAACTGAATCGAAGTGGTGGATTTTTCGTTTTTCTTCATAGAAATTCACTAAAATCACGGCGATATCAGCAGAGGTGAAACGCCATCGTTACGGTTCCGAGTGTCTGGACGGGCCAGAGGTGCGCCCGCGTAGACCGTCAGGTGACCGCGGGCGAAAGGATCGACGCAGAACTTCAACGAGACGAAGAGCAGCCGACGCCCGATCGAACTTTCAGACACTCTGCTCCACTGGCTCGGGGTTCTCTCACGGACGGAACTAGATTCTAAGTCTTAGTCCAAGATTAGTCCTGGTTTAGACCTGGTTTAGACCTGGTTTAGTCCTGGTTTAGTCCTGGTTTAGTCCTGGTTTAGACCTGGTTTAGACCTGGTTTAGACCTGGTTTAGTCCTGGTTTAGACCTGGTTTAGTCCTGGTTTAGTCCTGGTTTTAGTTCTGGTTTAGTCCTGGTTTTAGTTTTGGTTTAGTCCTGGTTTACTCTGGATTTAGTGCTGGTTTAGTCCTGGTTTAGACCTGGTTTTAGTCGTAGTTTTAGTCCTGATTTTTGTCCTGGTTTATTCTGGATTTAGTGCTGGTTTAGACCTGGTTTAGTCCTGGTTTAGACCTGGTTTTAGTTTTGGTTTAGTCCTGGTTTATTCTGGATTTAGTGCTGGTTTAGTCCTGGTTTAGTCCTTGTTTAGTCCTGGTTTTAGTTCTGGTTTAGTCCTGGTTTTAGTCCTGCTTTAGTCCTGGTTTAGTGCTGGTTTAGTCCTGGTTTAGTCCTGGTTTAATCCTGGTCGTAAAAAAGCTTCTATCTGTAAGTTTTTTTGATTTTTTAGAAAGAGTGGAGAGAGCTGACGTGAAGCCTGTCCTCCCCTCGCTCAGAAAGACAAATCGCCGCGGTTTTATCCATCGAAAACAGACGTGCAGAGAGCGGAAACAGAACGACCTTTTTTGGTGTTAAAAAACAGAGAAGATGGATTTTATTTATATAAGTTTGTGTGTCCATTAAAAGTCGGTTTAATGAGGCGGGAGCGTTGTCGCGCCGCTCGGAATCCCACGCGCCATTTACGCTCGGGAAAACTCACAGTCCGGAGTTTGTTTTTGTTATGATAAAGATCACGGCGAAACGAGCGCGGCCCCTTCAGAGTTTAATGAGACTGACCCCGACGGCTTCAAATGGTCCGGAATGAGACGCACGGAGACGACGGCGACACTTTCTCCCGGAATTTGAGTTTAAAAAGTTAATAACGGACTTTTTAAGAGAGATTTTTTATGTATTCACCTAAAAACATGTCTCCCTACAACTCGCACTTATGTAACAGATAATACTCCCTACAACTGTACAACAACTCACCCTTATGTAACAGATAATACTCCCTACAACTGTACAACAACTCACCTTATGTAACAGATAATACTCCCTACAACTGTAACAACAACTCACCCTTATGTAACAGATAATACTCCCTACAACTGTACAACTCACCTTATGTAACAGATAATACTCCCTACAACTGTACAACTCACCCTTATGTAACAGATAATACTCCCTACAACTGTACAACAACTCACCTATGTAACAGATAATACTCCCTACAACTGTACAACAACTCACCTATGTAACAGATAATACTCCCTACAACTGTACAACTCACCTTATGTAACAGATAATACTCCTACAACTGTACAACTCACCCTTATGTAACAGATAATACTCCCTACAACTGTACAACTCACCCTTATGTAACAGATAATACTCCCTACAACTGTACAACAACTCACCCTTATGTAACAGATAATACTCCCTACAACTGTACAACAACTCACCCTTATGTAACAGATAATACTCCTACAACTGTACAACAACTCACCTTATGTAACAGATAATACTCCTACAACTGTACAACTGTAACAGATAATACTCCCTACAACTGTACAATCACCCTTATGTAACAGATAATACTCCCTACAACTGTACAACTCACCCTTATGTAACAGATAATACTCCCTACAACTGTACAACAACACCCTTATGTAACAGATAATACTCCCCTACAACTGTACAACTCACTCCTTATGTAACAGATAATACTCCCTACAACTGTACAACACCCCTTATGTAACAGATAATACTCCCTACAACTGTACAAATCACCCTTATGTAACAGATAATACTCCCTACAACTGTACAACAACTCCCCTTATGTAACAGATAATACTCCCTACAAACTGTACAACAACTCACCTTATGTAACAGATAATACTCCCTACAACTGTACAACAACTCACCCTTATGTAACAGATAATACTCCCTACAACTGTACAACAACTCACCCTTATGTAACAGATAATACTCCCTACAACTGTACAACAACTCACCCTTATGTAACAGATAATACTCCCTACAACTGTACAACAACTCACCCTTATGTAACAGATAATACTCCCTACAACTGTACAACAACTCACCCTTATGTAACAGATAATACTCCCTACAACTGTACAACTCACCCTTATGTAACAGATAATACTCCCTACAACTGTACAACTCACCCTTATGTAACAGATAATACTTCCTACAACTGTACAACTCACCCTTTGTAACANTCACCCTTATGTAACAGATAATACTCCCTAACAACTGTACAACAACTCACCCTTATGTAACAGATAATACTCCCTACAACTGTACAACACAACTCACCCTTATGTAACAGATAATACTCCCTACAACTGTACAACAACTCACCTTTATGTAACAGATAATACTCCCTACAACTGTACAACAACTCACCCTTATGTAACAGATAATACTCCCTACAACTGTACAACAAACTCACCCTTATGTAACAGATAATACTCCCTACAACTGTACAACAAACTCACCCTTATGTAACAGATAATACTCCCTACAACTGTACAACAACTCACCCTTATGTAACAGATAATACTCCCTACAACTGTACAACAACTCACCCTTATGTAACAGATAATACTCCCTACAACTGTACAACAACACTCACCCTTATGTAACAGATAATACTCCCTACAACTGTACAACAACTCACCCTTATGTAACAGATAATACTCCCTACAACTGTACAACAACTCACCCTTATGTAACAGATAATACTCCCTACAACTGTACAACAACTCACCCTTATGTAACAGATAATACTCCCTACAACTGTACAACAACTCACCCTTATGTAACAGATAATACTCCCTACAACTGTACAACAACTCACCTTATGTAACAGATAATACTCTCCTACAACTGTACAACAACTCACCCTTATGTAACAGATAATACTCCCTACAACTGTACAAACAACTCACCCTTATGTAACAGATAATACTCCCTACAACTGTACAACAACTCACCCTTATGTAACAGATAATACTCCCTACAACTGTACAACAACTCACCCTTATGTAACAGATAATACTCCCTACAACTGTACAACCACTCACCCTTATGTAACAGATAATACTCCCTACAACTGTACAAACAACTCACCCTTATGTAACAGATAATACTCCCTACAACTGTACAACAACTCACCTTATGTAACAGATAATACTCCCTACAACTGTACAACCACTCACCCTTATGTAACAGATAATACTCCCTACAACTGTACAACAACTCACCCTTATGTAACAGATAATACTCCCTACAACTGTACAACAACTCACCCTTATGTAACAGATAATACTCCCTACAACTGTACAACAACTCACCCTTATGTAACAGATAATACTCCCTACAACTGTACAACAACTCACCTTTATGTAACAGATAATACTCCCTCCTTTTTGCCCAGCTCTAATCATGAGACTTGGATATCGTTACAGCCCTACTGGGTAGTTGTCCCTGATTGGTTGATGTGGCGCAACCAACACCAAAAATTTCACTTTTTCAACGTCTGGTGTTGACGCCCTGGACGCCAGAACAGTGAAGACGCGCCGCATCGACATCAGATTCTGACGCTTGATAAAAAGCAGGATATACGTGCGTCCACATAGACTTTCGATATAAACTGGACACCTTGACGTCTCGGTCTGAACGCAGCTTAAAGGTTGTATGGAGGATTTTTTTTTTGTTTCAAATTGTCAATGAAAGTTTAAAATACCATTACAGAGACACAGCAGCTTTGTAATTATGATGACCAAAAAAAAAAGAATGAAAATCTATCAACTGTGGACGTGTTGAGGACAGATAAACATCAGCCAATAGAAAACGAGGCTCCCTCATTTTCTATTGGCTGTTGGGTTGTCAATCAATCTCCCTAGTGTAACTGACTTGTCGGCGCGCGGGGATTATGTGGTTTATGCAGCGGTTCTTAGAGGCTTTTTCAAACTGTCGCTTCCTCGCATTTCGCACAAAGTTTGTCGCGACGGCGGACGAGAATCCACGACCAGTTCGCCGCAAAAGAAAGTCGGTTTTTGAGGTCGCTGAAAGAAGAAGAAGAGAAGGGGAAAAGGAGCGAAGCTAAACTGAGGTGATTCTTGGAGATTCCTTCCACCGATGGCGCGAATGAAACAGACGAAGGGTCTAAAAACTGACGCGTCGGTCGATAAATTACCTCTAGACAGGAAACGTCAACAGTAATTCTGAACGCGCACAAGGACTGTCGCTGTATTTCTCTTAAAAAAATCCTCTATACAACCTTTAAGTCTTGTCTAAGTCTAACCAGTTCCGTTTAGCTTCTGAAACGTGACGAGATCAGGCTTTGACAAAAGGAGGTTTTGGCTCAGAATATAATTAGTTCTTTTAAAATGATTTTACAACTCACCTAAATCTGCGGTGCTCTGTCTGTGGGAGTAAACGTCGGCCATTATGGTGTGTAGATTCTCCAGGATGAGCTCTGAGGGCATGTCCAGCTGCAGGGTCACACACACACGCGCACACACACACACACACACAAACACACACAGTAAGAGTGAGTAAAAATGATAACATAAGACGGAGGGTGTCGGTGGTTTTCAGGTTCTAGAATGCAATGATGTCAAACTGCCAGAAGAGGGAGCAAGAGACAGATTTCCCATTAGATCACACAGCCGTTTCCCATTTACGTCACTTAAATGATGCTCGACTGAACCAGGACTAAACCAGGACTAAAACAGGTCTAAACCAGGATTTAAACAGATCTAAACCAGGACTAAAACAGGTCGAAACCAGGTCGAAACCAGGTCGAAACCAGGACTAAACCAGGACTAAACCAGGTCTAAACCAGGACTAAAACAGGACTAAAACAGGACTAAACCAGGACTAAACCAGGTCTAAACCAGGTCTAAACCAGGACTAAACCAGGACTAAAACCAGGTCTAAACCAGGACTAAAACAGGACTAAACCAGGACTAAACCAGGACTAAAACAGATCTAAACCAGGACTAAACCAGGACTAAACCAGGTCTAAACCAGGACTAAACCAGGACTAAACCAGGTCTAAAACAGGACTAAAACAGGACTAAACCAGGACTAAACCAGGTCTAAACCAGGTCTAAACCAGGATTAAACCAGGACTAAAACAAGGTCTAAACCAAGACTAAACCAGGACTAAACCAGGACTAAAACAGGTCTAAACCAGGTCAAAACAAGGACTAAACCAGGTCTAAACCAGGACTAAATCAGGACTAAACCAGGACTAAAACAGATCTAAACCAGGACTAAAACAGGTCTAAACCAGGACTAAACCAGGCCTAAACCAGAATTGAACCAGGACTAAGTGTCCGCTCAAATGAGTGTGTAGCTTTGATACAAATTTGAAAATGGATTTGTGTTCAGGTATTTTTCTTTTATGACAACTGATGCAAAACCCAACTACTATGATAAGAATCATTTTAAGCAAGAAGTCGTCAACAACAAAACACACTATAGAACTGAAACTGCTTTGAAAAATTGTAAAAGCGATTGGTGATGAAAGCAAACCTCAAAATGCCGTTCTTCACAGTGACACAAATATAAAATAAAAATGAGTGAGTGACCAGCTTGTTCTCCTGCAGGTAGAGACTCTGGAGTTTGGGGCAGCCTTTGGCGAGGGCCTCCATGCCTTCGTCTGTGATCAGTGTTGGGAAGGTGACTTTTAAAATGTAATCCCCTACAGATTACAGATTACACACCCCAAAATGTAGTTTGTAACGTAATCCATTAAATTACTTAAAGTGAGTAACGTAATCTGATTACTTTGGATTACTTGATATTGTCATGTTTTTAAACGACATGAATGTAGCAACCACATCCTGAAAATTCTTGTTTGTTGTCTTCAAATTGTCTGAGCCCAAGTCTCCATGAATAAACAACTGTTTACTGTAGAAACAAAGACCAGGAGATCTGAATATAAGAGGTTTTGTCTGTTAAAAGACAGAAACAAGATCAGACTTTCCTTCACCAGATTAAAAAATATTATTGATAGAGAAATTATTTTTTATATGAGATCACCTTAAATTATGTCAACCTACTGTTAGGTGTCATGTTGTTTAGACCTGGTTTAGTCCTGATTTTTAGACCTGGTTTACTCCTGATTTTAGACCTGGTTTAGGCCAGGTCTAGACCAGGTCTTTAATTCTGGTTTAGTCGTGGTTTAGTCCTAGTTTAAACCTGGTTCAGTCCTGCTTTAGTCCTGGTTTAGTCCTGTTTTTGTCCTGGTTTAGTCCTGGTTTAGTCCTGGTTTTAGTCCTGGTTTAGAGGTGCACAGGAGGAAGCGCGGTTTACGTGAGAAAACACAGTCCACATACGGCGCACGAGACGTCGGTGTCCACGCAGTAACTACGGAAGGAGACGTGGTCCGCGGGTTCTCAGGTCGATGACGATGATGGTGTGTGTTTGTGTGTGTTTGTGTGTGTGTTTGTGTGTGTGTTTGTGTGTGTGTGTGTGTTTGTATAGAACAGTAGTGCAGATATTATGAGTCTATGCAGGTTGTTTTCACCAGTGCCAGTAGCTCCTGTTTCACATTTAAGTTGTAGGCGATTTTATATATATATATTTTCTTTATATATATATCTCACATCGGGAGAAGAATTTCCAAGACACAAATGCGTTTTTACCAATGCACTGCTGCTTCCACTGTGTGACTGACACCGCCAACTTTAACATGACGTTTACATCGCTCTTACTGTCGCGTTCTGTTTGGGTTTCCAACAATGAGTGAAATTACCGAAATAAAAAATAAATAAATGGGATGTAGCACAAAATGTGAAAACAGGAAAATACCGCCTTGTAATCCACTTATTTCAGCAAAGTAACTGTAATCCAATTACCACTCATTTAAACAGTAACTGTAACGGAATACAGTTACTCATAATTTGTACTCTGATTACGTAACGGCGGTACATGTAATCCGTTACTCCCCAACACTGTCTGTGATACTGTAGCACTGACCCAGGTGCATGTCCACAATGCTCTCCCAGCTGACACAAAAACACAAAACATTTCAGATTAAGAGCAAGTCCAAGATAAAACCTGTATTTTTGAATTTACGTTTGAATAAAAAAGCCGCCACAAACCACAATGTTTTCCCAGTGCACACAAATGTCATTTAAAATGGTTTCAGACCTTATTGTTAAAATGCAAAAACAATGACATATTTTAGAATAAAGGTTTGAAAACAGCATATAGATTAAATGTGTTGGTACTTTTTACTTTCTGTGGGAATTATGCCACAAATGCTTTTATTGTTAAATGAGCTAGTCATAGTTTTTCTTTTAGAATATTAACAGCAGCTTTGAGATATATCGATATATTTTTATTACTGAGAACTTTGAACTTTGTTGCTACTTTGATAACATCACATGAAGGTTTCATTGAAGTTATTATGTCAGTAAATTTTGAAGTAATTGTGCAAGGGATTGTGTTGTAATTCCTAGTAAAAAAAAAAATGTGTTAAGAACTTTATATGTAATAAATGAATGCTTTGTAAAGAACAAACCTTTTTCAATGTGTTAGGTCTGCCTAAACATTGTAAACAAGAAGAAAGACAAGAGATTAATTCAGTTTTACTCGCGAGGAGAACGGGCAGAGAGTGGGCATCAAAACCAACAGTCTCCACACGTTCTGATGACTCAAGGCCGATCTCCTCTTTTTATTTCATTAGGAGGCCCTAGTTACAGAACGATAATTCTCAAGGGGAAGGGGAAACAGCAAAGACATAATAAGAAACTGATGAAGCTATGCATAGTATAAACACATAAAACATGATTAACAATCAGGAGGTGCCTTAGGTCAGACACCATCATAACTCTTGCATGTGTGACAGTGGGAGTTGGCTTCATGTGAGGAATCATCTCGAGGTTCACTAGAGCGATAGGACACTGCACACAGTTGTCAAACACACAGAGGTTATTCATTTTCATACAAGTGATTGGTACATTATAAATCAAAGAATTGTAGTTACATAAATGGTTAACTCATAGGCCTAGAATATCACACAAGTATTTAGCAAATATGGGATAATAAAATTATTCTGATACAATGCCTCTTCAGTCAGCTTGTCTTGATTGCCAACATGGACTTTCACCAGCAGAGGGCAGTGTGCGGCCAGAGATGAGAGCGACGCGTCCCCCAGCTGTTTGCAGCCGGATGCGGTGAACTTTCTGGAGACCCGGACAGTGCGAGGCCAAAGCGGAGACGCCGTTGTCATGAAACATCTTGGATTTAGTCAATTACAGGTGTTTTTATTTCTCAAAAATACCTTGAAAAACTAGAATTTTTACTCTTAGAGGCGTCCTGGTTTAGTCCTGGTTTAGTCCTGGTTTAGTCCTGGTTTAGTCCTGGTTTAGTCCTGGTTTTAGTCCTGGTTTAGTCCTGGTTTAGTCCTGGTTTAGTCCTGGTTTTAGTCCTGGTTTAGTCCTGGTTTAGTCCTGGTTTAGTCCTGGTTTAGTCCTGGTTTAGTCCTGGTTTAGTCCTGGTTTAGTCCTGGTTTAGTCCTGGTTTAGTCCTGGTTTAGTCCTGGTTTAGTCCTGGTTTAGTCCTGGTTTAGTCCTGGTTTAGTCCTGGTTTAGTCCTGGTTTAGTCCTGGTTCAGTCCTGGTTTAGTCCTGGTTTAGTCCTGGTTCAGTCCTGGTTCAGTCCTGGTTTAGTAAATATACGGTGCAAAAGTTCTACATCTTCACTCAGTTCTTTTGGTGAGTTACATTTATCCAGTTACAGTTGGTTTTATATTTCAAAAATATCTAAAAATGACGTGTGAACGAGGCAAACTCTGTCTGCAGGTTCAGGCTCTGGGGACACAGGTTCAGTTTTGTCTTTTGTGTCTTAAAAAAAAAAAGAAGAAAATTTCACCTTTAATGTAACTAAAAAGACAAAATCTGGTATTTTCAAAAGAGACATAAAAAACAAGAGAAACAAAATCAGATCTGAAGGAGCTCAAATCATTTCATAATGTTACATAAAACTTCTGTCACTTTAGACGTCGTAAGAACATCAGAACTTTGTCGTTGTTCTTATCACCTCAAGAACAAGAACAAAGTTTGTTTGGGCTCTGACATTTCATTTTTCAAAAGATGTTCTGCTGCCGAGCTGCGCCGCCCCCTCGCTCTCGCTCTGTATCCAGGGCATTTCTTTTCTTCCTCCAGTCTGATGCCTCTTTTTTTTTTTTTGGTGATCACCTTTTGGCTTTCGCAAACTTGTCACAAAGATCAAGCCAAACTTTTCTACACTGATTTCTGTCCGAGCCTAAAATGTCGGCGATGTCCCTCCATGAATTTCTTGCCCTTTGGCGTCTTTACCGTCACTGAGCGTCGTGTCGTACACATGTTTCTATTTTCTCACCGTTTCCTCCAGCTGTGACTCAAAAACATAAAGTTTATTTGCTTTAGCGACGAAGCAGATAAACCACGAACACATAAATAACCAATCAGAGTGAAGATGTGGGAGACGCTGCAGAAG